ACTGTTTGTCACGATTATCTTCGTTCCTGTCTATACACGTAGCCGAAAGAACGCGTGCCCTTTGTTCGAAAGATCTAATTGTACCGTAGAATGGTATTCACGCAAACGGTCGAGTTATCGCTATAGCAAAATCGAGCGAGAAAGGAGCGTGCGAACGAGCCATCCTGCCAGGGTAGATGCTCGTAGACCGCGTCTAGGCAGAGGGGCATTTCTTTCTCGATTAGGTTCCCACATGTTACCAAGCCACCCCCGCGACGTCGTCCACGTCTTTTAGGTTGGTACATCCGTGTGCGAGGTTCGCTCGCGCTGGCTTAAGCAACGTTTCGACGTTGTTTTTTGTGTCTGGCGGGCCCTTCGCTGGCCAGGTCCAGGGTCCGCCACGATTTAGTGGCCCTAATTGCAGGGTTCAGCTATTTAATTACCGGGTTCGAGGCCCCGCCGCGGCCGTTCCTGGCCCCCTATACGCCCGGTCAAAATGCGAGTACATTCATACGCGGGGCACACGTAGATGCGTTTTGCTTCGGTCCACCCACTAAAGGGAGGCCAATTCTCTCCTCTGACGTTTCGCGACAACTATCGTATTCCAGACCTTTTTTTCCCCGTAAACCTTCCAATTTGCCGGAGCTTTACTCGCTACGCGTGCAAAATCCATCGATCAGCCACCATTTTACTTTACACCCACGTATCACTTTACGTGCCCCACTCGTCGCGCTTCTTCCTACCACGAAGCTGCGTCGCTGCATATATCACCTTTACCTCGCCACCCATCGCCACTCATCGCCACCTTGGCCCACCTTCGTGCGGAGATCGTACCGCCATTTTGGTACTCGGTTTCCAAGCGGATCTCTCGGCAGATTTTCCTCCGTTAACATCCCGGCCAGAGATTGAATTCGTTTAGAAGGAAGGAAGAATCGTTGATGCGTCCCATTGCTTGCGAAATGACGGGTGTATGTTCATGCGAATGGAGCCCAATTCCTCATGACCCCGGAATCTTTCAATCCTTCCTAATAACAGGCTAGAAATCGGCAAGAAACTCGAGGGACCGGCAAGCTCTCTGCACGGAGCTACCAAATGATTGATAAGTCCATAAAGCATTCCGGTTGTCCTGTGATTTCCGGCCGATGTTGTCGATGCCGGTGGAGAGCTGTTGATGCCCAAAGAACGTGCACAGGGTTAAGGACGTGCGTGCCAGGGTTTTTTGGCCGCGGGTGACGCGGTGACGAGATGATGACCGACCCCGAACTTGGAATCATCGTGATTACCCCGCCCGCGTAACCCGTAATGCGGACCGAACCACCGGTGCAACTGCCACCGTGCCATGTTCCTCTCCTTTTTTCACCCCCTCCCCTCCTCCTTCTTGCCATTCGCCCGAGTACCACTGCCTATTTCCGATGTGCCCGCTAATTTATATTATTAACTGACCGACAGCAACTGATCACCTTCATTTCTCACCGCGAGCCGCGGTCCTCGATCCTTCTCGATGCTTCCAGACTTTTGCCTCCGACGAATTCATTTTCTCCAGTGACAAACGTATTTTTTATTTCACGTCGGAAGGTATCACGGCCAACCCTAGTCTTCCCCTATCTCTAGCTTTTTTTCGGATGTTCTTGGCAAAATAAATGTGTCCCCCTTTCCGGCTGGCGGGAAAGAGGGTTCGACGTGTTACGGAAACCGGCTAACGCGTAAATTTCCCTCGGTCGCGTTTGATATCGACGGTCGTTTCTTGGACCTCTGGTCCACGAGGTTGGACATATTCGGCGAGTCGATTAGCCAGACGCGCAGCAACCAGAGCCCTTCCCGCCCTTTGGGGAACGCGCGAGAGTTTTAATTGTAGACCGCGGCCACCTAAGGGGGAGGCTATTATTCTTTCTCTCGTCGGTAACGCGGCGATCCGCTTCTTCCAGGACTCGAAGAAAAGAGAAGAGAGACGAGAAAAGGGAGAAAGATATAATAACAGAGCGCTGGGCCCGCTCGCGCTCGAAAAGAACGACCGTCCGTCTGTCCGTCCATCCGTCTGGCAGTTTCATATCCGAGAAGAACGCACGAGTCTCAACCGGCACAATTTTTCACCGCGCTACCCCGTGCATGCCGATACGCCTCTTTCCGTCTGCCTCCTGCCCTCCCCGAGCCCTTCATTCATCATCCCTTAACGCGATCGCCGCTTTTACCTCGTTTCGGAAAAGCTCGTTGGCGCCACCTGGCCGGATATCGATGGATCGACCTGCCTGCTAACGGAAAGGTTCGCAATCAATCGCACCCTTAATTAGTACGACGTAACTCATTCGCTAAGTGGGATGAAATATTGGAAAATATCGTTCGGATTTGGGTGAAACGTTCGAGTAGGATTCTTCTTCTCCTTCCCCATGCGGAAATATAAAATTACTATATATATAGGGCGTCGGTGGTACCCAGACTATTCCGCTCGGGGAGACGGAAGGACTTTGTCGGCAGGGCAAAGCCGCGGTGTCAGCGAAGCAATCCTTTGGGTCCTTCCTCAACATTCTAGCCGGTGGTGAATGGAGATCACACGCGGTTCCCACTGTATCGAGTTACAAGCGAAGGGAGACGCGCACGAAGAAGGAGCAAGAAGCACTTTGGCATTATGCGTCTGAGGGAGAATACGAATCCATTCACCGGCAATCATCCGTTCACCCAAGCGTTCTTGCTCCGCGTCTCTCGCGGTGTTCATTCACCAGTCCTCGCCGCTGTTAAACTAGCTCGAGTAATTCACACCGAAGCGGGGGAACGTTGAATCGTAGGAGGGAAAAAATATATATTTGGCTCTCGAAACCGACGCAGTCCTCGATCGAGGAACGCGCGAGCCGTGCCTACGTGTAGAAAGTCGTTGAAATGTCGCGTTACGTATATTGTGATACATGGCGTCATGCCGCTCAGGAGAACGATACATCGCTGTCCCGCACGACGGTTGTTCGGAGATTTTTCCGAGAAATTTGTCTGTGGGCAAAGACAGTGGGAGGATCGTTGGATCGGTCGATCGATTTCTGATCGATGAAAAGAAACTTGGCGGGGTGTTACGTAAAGATAAAAGGAGTCGAAGCGTTCCTCGAGCACGATAAATTCTTGGCGAGTACGCAATATCATTAGCGTGTACGATAATAGGCTGGATCCCCAGGCTACGATCATTACACCGCTACGGTGGTGCGGATCGAACGGTTGAAAAAGTGGCGCGCATCGACGCGGCAACGTAACTTACGAGCACTACGGATAGATACCGCGCACTATCCTGCTATTACGTTACGCTACAAGTTACTTTATCGCATTAATCTCGCGTACGTGGCCGCGCAGCCTTTTTCTCAAACTTTCTCACCTGGTTTTTAATTGAAGCTATAACTCAACAAAGAGCAGACATATAGGGACCCAGGTTGTGTTTAACTTGTACAACCGATAACCGGCTATTTTCTAAACGCGCCAAATTGAATTAACCCGCCGCGCGCGAACACTAGCGACATAGGGCTAGCGCGGCGACAAACGCGGCCCGCTGATTCGATAATTGAATTTTAATTACCGGGCTTCGAGCCGATGAGTAATTGCTTACCAAGGAAAGGAAACGCTTAACGCGTGCTTTCTACCCTTAAACAGACGATGGCTCATTAACGAGATTGCCGCGATTACTTTCCACCGACTTATTCGGGGAATTCCATTAACGCTCGTGATCCTCGCGTATGAGAAATGTCGGAGGCGAGCAACGTTGAACGCGCAACCCCGTCGTTGGATGCGCCGTCGTCCCACCGACATTGACTCCGTAAAATCGAAAAACCTGTTCCCCCCCCCCCGTCCTGTAACGATATACTAATATCTCGGACCTAGTCGTCGTTATCTGCCCATTCGCCTCCCACGCGCCTGACCCCGAAGCGGGTATCGGCGCGCGAGATGTAACAAGAAGAAAACAAAGGGGTAACCTCTCCGGCAGAAGAAAGGGCGGCGGTGGTGATGGTGGTGGGCATAAAGGAATAAAAACAAGGATAAAAGCGAAAGTCGGAAAGGGGGAGAGGAAGGAGTCGAAGGCGAAGCTGAAGAAGAGGAAGCAGAAGAAGAAGAAGAAGAAGCGGCGGTCGCGGCGGCGAACCACGTGATCGGAGCGCGTTTTAATTGGTCGGGAGTGTGGTCTGCGGCGCGATGGAGGGAGGACAGGGAGTGAAAAGGTGGGAAAGGGGGAACGGAGAGGGTTCGTTAGGGTTGCCACGAGGATTAGACAATCGCGAGGTTGTACGAGGAGGACCGTTGCGAGGGCGGGCGCTGCTTCTGCCCCACCAGCAACACCTTCCAGGATGGATACACACTTGTGGAGTATCCTACGGGACGTGGCCGATCCACGCACACTCTGCCTCCAGCACGCACTCACGTATCCGGACGCCGACGCGACGCGACGCGACGCAACGCGCTAAGAGAGCAGACGTGGTTGTAGAGAAGCCGAGAAAGAGAGGATCCGCCTCCGTAGGCCCGTGTTGCTCCTCTCCGCTACGTGGGGGACGAAAAAGCTCAGTTATAATTGTTGCACGCCGCGAGCTGCACCTCCAGTCAGTCCCTCCGTCTAATTGTAACCTCCTTCCGCGTCGCACCGGAAAGGACGTCCAAACACCCGCGTCCTGCGTCCTCGAACGACCTCCTTGTCGACTGACCTCCTCTCTTCTTGCCTTCTGTGGCCAATAGCCACAGAAATTACTGTGATTACCAGGATATACGAGGGGCTACGGCAACCTTCGAACGGACTACCGATGCCGAGGATCGCCTCTGCCGCACGATCGACCCACCGACACCAGAATCCCTCGACAGTTGAAGGATCTGTAACGGCAGCCGTCTCGATTCGCAAACATGTCTATTGAGCTTCGTAACGTTCGCTCAGACCTCGCCTGTGCCACTCTTCCACGAAAAATTCAAGTGTAACCACAGTTTTGTGTAAACCACAGTGCACAGCTATTTCGTAGCAAATTGGAACACGATACATCTCGATAGTCTCGACTGAACAGTGACCCGACAAAATGAATTGTGCGTATCAATACTCGCATCCTGCCCATCCGCAAAACATGATGGCCATACCACCGACGGCTGCCCAGCAACCTCAACATTCCACGGATACCGAGTACTTGGAGGTAAAGTTGTCAATAATTACCGTCATTTACCAATAGCAATAGACGCGAATAGCGATATTTGACAAAATCTATCGACAACATCTGCTCCCTTCTGCAGCGACATCCTGGGCGGTCCAGAAACACCCTCTCGTTAATTGTTCATCTCCCGGCTAGCGAAAGAGGCCAATGCGAGCGCACCCCCGATTCTCCTTAACGCGTTGCCAATTCATCAGCTCTCGCTGAGAATTCAATTTGCACGATTGCCAATCGGATCTCGCAATTGAATTTGACAAAGGTTCGACACTCGTCGATCATCCTCCTCCGGTGAGTCCGCGGAAAAACCTACCTACCTAAACATCGAGAAGCTAGAAGACGTTGATTGCCGACTCCGCGGTTTCCCAATCGACCGTACGAACCGGCGTTGTTGCGCTCTTCCAAGTAGAAACGTGCTTCTAAAGCGCTCATTAACGAGCAAAATGACGTTCACGGCAATAATAAATCGGAGTCGATCGGCTCGCGTGAAAGGTTGCGGAAAAAAGTCCACTTTCACGTGGTTAAGGCGAACGAACGAACGAACGAACGAACGAACGAAGAATCGCCGTGAAAGAGTGAGAGGGTACACGTGAGAGAAAGAGAGACGTAGCTGGGGGATATTAATATAAGGGCTCGATACGTAATTATAGTGATTACCGTATTGCCAGGGGGCGGACGAGGGCGTCCCTCAGTTTGCACGTCATTTTGCAATCTCAACTTCCAGCGAACATGCGCGCGAATTTGTCGGCGGTCCTTCGTCAGGCTAATTGTTTCCCCCTTTTTGCGCTAATTCTTCACGCTCTTTCCGCTCCTTTTGTTCCAGTCACCGCGTGTTCCGGAAGAAAGTCACCCAACAAAGTCGATACCATTCACTCTCGTTAGCGAAATTATACTAATCCTCGCGCGAGTTATCTCGCCCGCGACGTAATATTAATCGGTCCCATTTCGACAAGTCACTTATTACGATGATTCGTGCGCGTGTACGACCGTCGCGTAATAGCAGCCAATTCGCTCTTGGTTTTTGCTGTTCGTGGAAGAGCCGCGAGTTCCTTGTTTGCGGATTACACGCCGACAGAAAAGCGAGCGGAGCCGGCGCGGCGCGTGAATTACGGAGGATCGGCTTCTCTCCTCCCTGTGGAACACCCCATAAATCTGAGCCGGGAGCGTCTCTCTATTCCGGACCACGGATGTAGACGGAACCGCGAGTTGTACGCCAGCCACGGCCCGGCCAACGAGTCCGTAAATCAGTCCTAGACAAGTTTCTCTTCGTCTTGTTTCACGGCAAAACGTGCTGCTCGACCTTAAAAGCCTCAAAGAGATGCCTCCCCTTTCGGCCCGTTCGCTTCCAGAGACGAATCGCCGACAACGGTCAAAACGAGCCACGGTAATATTTATTTGACCGTGGCCGGTCTTGTATCGCTATAATTCTTTTCGACAATTACGTACTCGCACCACCGGAATAACTCCAACGACTTACTCGGTCTATGTATAGGCCTTTTTGTCCGTTCAGCGTTCGCCACTCCGAACCGTACTAATAATAATCCAGAAGGAATCGCGGAAATGTCTGCAACGAAGAGCGAACAATCGCGTGCAACGAAGCAAGCATCTGTTCGCACGTTATCAGCGCTCTTCCATTACATACTTCACGCGAGTGTTTGATTTATGAAACGAACATTGGAACTAGTTGACATCGTGCGCCGGTGTTAAAATACTGCTTTTTAACTGCACTCGTTGCCCGGCTGCGTGGACTATCATTACAGGTGCCCCGCTCGAGTTGAATATTTTCAGAGACACTTTGAAAACACAGAGTGACCGTAATTACCGCTGCATCTTTCCTACGTACAGAGAGAGAGAGAGAGAGAACTATCACCAGGACGCGATAAATTACGCACACTCGCGTCAAAATGTTTAAATCGTCGGTACATTAACATAATGGCCGTTCCGTCTCATCGGGCCCAGATAGCGATAGACCAAACAGATACCGCGGTCACCAGTGGTTATTAAACTGGAAGGCACCACCTCCTCGTGGTAGAAGAGCCTACTATGTATATACAATATAAGTACTTAGGTTAGGTTAGTAGGCATACACACTTGGACGGTCCCATACTCTCTGGTCCCAGTCTGCTGGTCTGGTGAATCTTCATTTTCGACGGTCCCAGCCGCTATATGCGAAGCTGGTTCCTTGGTAATTATTAGTCCATCAGCATCTCCCGATGGCCACATGGCCGTATAAGAGGCAAAAGCCGGACCATCTTAGCCTCGCGAGGCCGCCCTGTCATTATCCGCCCCCGTCAGGCCCGTGGGCCCCATTTCCCTTTCAACCCCGTTCACCTCGTCTCTGCCAATCACCGATCCGTCATTTCGTAGCCTCGATATCGCTCGATCGTTACCGAGAAAATCAATCGTCGCTCCTTGATGAACAACTTTCTCCCTCCTTTTTCCACCTTCTCCTCTAGCTCGGTGTGCGTGATAGATAAATAACCAGTACCTTTTTATCCAAAAATCTAAAAATCCCGACAGGGAGGGAACAGCAACATCGATCAGGGACACAACAAAAACCGGCAGAATCGTCTCGCACCCTCGTTTGCTCCTTCGAACAACGTTCACGTCCGATTCTGCTCCGGTTCATCGTAAAACATCCCTTTTCTCGCCTCCCGTAACAACTACTGCTATCCTCTGACCTCGAGGCAGGGTGGATCGCACCTTTTGTGGCCTGATCGCACGCGATGCACGCATCATCGTCTCCTCGAGTCGTTGGGGGATGGCCGATAATGCCTGGCGTTCCGCGAAATATTTGTTCGTCGATTAGGACTCGTATCGATCTCCACCGGCTTCGTGTTTAGCCAGTTACGGAATAGCAAATCAAGATTCGACGGATGAACATTCGCGTCTGCAACTGTACGTACTGCTTACTTCGAAAATCATCGAACGTTAAGAAATTGACGCTGTTCGTGAGATATCTCGTGACGCGCAAATTGACCGCGGAAATCTCGGACACGACTCGGGAGAGATGGCCTCTTTGCTCGAACGATGAACGACCGAGAGCAGTTATGAATGGGCCGCGATTAGACGGTCGCCTCGATCTTGTTCCATTATGGAAAATTAGGACCTAATGCGACCCCGACGCGTCTGTTCCTACGCCAGACATCGGCGTAGACTCGTCGACTCGTGATCGTATCGATCTACGTTACGCATAACGAGATGACCGGGATCGTGAAAAAGCTCGAGTACGCCACTGAGAGCAACAGTCGTAATAGAGGCAGGTTCCTCGTTCGCTGAAATTTTACCCGGTAGGTATACGGTGTGTGTGTGTGTGTGTGTGTGTGTATCGTCGAGTCGATAGCATTTGAAATTCAAACTCCTCGATTAAAATCACATTAGACGCTCGTGAGACGGGGTAGAATCGCGATCTTCTTGTGCTCCCTCTGCATGGATCTTTGGAACAACATCATAATGCTCCGGATCCAACGACTGCTTGCTCTAGACGTCGCAAATGTCGCTGTAGATTAAACGATAATTTATTTCAACGGGCAAAAAAGTTCACCAAGGCTTGCCAGTTTTTTCTAGAGCTCTCTACCTACTATAGAGTAGAATGGGTGTTCTGCCTAGAAGCTCGATTTGAATTCGTCGAGAGTTGAGAATCGATTGGCAGACCCGTGTCAAATTTTCACCGAATACAAAATGTTTCCACCAACTCGTAGATCGGATTTGTATATCAATTACGCGGGGACCAGGTCGATGAACTTTGCTCGTTTCGCCGGTATCAGATAGCGGCATGTCGGTATTTAAATACCGACGACGTGCATACCGTTACGTCAAACAACGATGCCTGAAGTTAATACGACAACTTTGGGTCACGTAAGCCTCAGTCTGCTGGGACTAGAGGAGATGAGTGAGAGAGGGAGAGGGAGAAGAGAAACGTGGAAAGTCGGCGTACGCGTGCCTCCTCTTCGTGGCGGCGCGGTGCGCGCGCATTTCACGGTTAAATTATCGAGGGGAGGGCTGCGGACGGAGGGCGCGGGAGCAAGAGAGCAAGAGGGAACGGATGACGAGGAAGGAGCGTAGGGTGAGAAGCAGTGGGAAGAGAGATAGGGTGGGAGGAAAATCGGTGGGGATAAATAAAGTAAAGAGGAAGCGGGCACGGCACGGAGGCGGTCAGGGGCGGCAACTGGTTCTCCCTGGGTTCCGCCCACCAGGCTCTGCCCCTTTTTTGCCCGGGGGCCGAAGTCCTGCTCGCTTCCCTACTACCATTCCCCTGTCTGGTCGGGGCAAAGCCGATCGGATAGCCGGCAGTCTGTCACGGGGCGAAGAACGGGAACCACGTTAACCGGTTTCCCCGACGCACCACGACGTTTTCGACCCACTCGCTTTTTTACCCAGCCGACGGCCGCGGACTCGAGCTACTTCTCAACCCTTTCTTTCAAACGATATCGATCAAGTTTCGAATAGAGCTGGTGAACGCAAGTGAAGTGTGTCTATCGGACAGAGACTGGAAAGTCGCGAAACGCCGAACGTCCAGTCGAGGAGGCACCGCGGATTCTCTCCTGGAACAGCAGCAGACAGCCGACAGGATTCCGCCAACAACCGGGCCTAGTCTTTGAGAAGCGTCAACGAGATGCTGACCGACATGACACCGGCTGCGGCTGGCCAACTTTATCCGCAATTACAGTCGATCGCCAAGTCACCGGTACACGGACATGTGGTGAGTCCCCTCGATCATTCACTTTCCACCGAATCAGTCAATTCACGTTAAGGTGGCGCAGTGTCTTTGGAATAGTCAGTCTAACGGGCAAATTTGTTCCGCGATCGTGGCCTTTAAAGTCCAGGTCTGCCGTGAGCGGCAAGGGTAGCTGTCAACCTCTGATCTCCCCGAGGCAAGGTCAATTACTCAGCCTCCTTTCAGATAGGGATCTTAATCCGTCCAGGTAGACCAGGATTTGTTGATCTCGTTGATCAGGTGCTACTGTTCGTCTTGTCACCTTCGTCAA